TGGGAAGGGGGATGCGGGGTGCCCAGCCCTGGGGGATAAGTGGCAGGAGCCCACCGGAATGTTGAGGGAAGGTGGTGGGCTGAGCTGGGGAAATGAAGCAAGATGCTCAGACATGCCAGGAGCTGTGGTCCAGCCCAGCAGATACCCCAGCCAGCGGGGCTGGCGGAGGAAGCTGCCCGTCCCTGCTTCAGCATCCTCCTGGCACAAACCAGGGGAAACTGACAGCACCATGCCCTCTCTGACAGCACCCAGCACCCCATCGACTTCCCTGACTGGTGTGAAGCCCACTACGACTCCCAGACCTGCCAAATCTCAGTGGTGCAGAAGGCGAACCCTAGCCTGCCTTGCGTGAAGAGCATGGAGCATGAGTGGGGTTCGGCTGGCACCCCTGAGCCACTGAGCAACAAGGTGCTGGGCGCGGGGCTGAGCAGATAGAGGCTTGTCACACGACCCGTTGGCATCTCCCTCCCTCCTCCAGAGCATACTTCCCGCATGCTCCAGACCTGCCCCATCCCATAGAAACATCGCTGCTGCCATCTTCGAGAGAAACCACTATCTACACATTATTGTACTGACTTAATATTTACACCCTAGCGCTGCGATGGTACAGCTTTGCTTCTGCCTTCAGCTTCCTGAACCAAACTGGGGCCCCCGTCCCTGTGAGATGCCTTGCACACTGTGGGAATGTAGATCCAATGGGATCTCCTCCCAGGTGAGCCGAAAACCCTGCAGAAGAGAGTAGAAACCCAAATTATCCTGCATCGTGGCAGTCTTTGACTTCCACACCCAGCCTCAAGCTAAGCAGCAATGTCCTCCCTCCCAAACCTCATCCCCTTGCACAGCAGCTACCTGGGGAGCACCAAGGCCCTTTTCTGAAGGACTCATGCACCCTGGCCACCCCCTTCTCTGCCCCAGAGCACAGGGGGCACATCCCACCTCTGGAACCACTAGCTCCCCTGCTCCTGCAGGTCCCAGGGCTGGAGGGGATCCCCGGCGCTGCAAGCCAGCCCTGGGCAACACTGCAACAGAGCCAGCCTGGGGCAGGCAGTAGAATGGGGGGAAAGCACTAGAAGATGTCCCCAGTGAGTGGCCCCCACATCCCAGCTGCAGGGGAGCGGGGGCAAGAAGCCGGGTGCCCTGCTCAGGTTCAGGAAGATGAAGCAATCCGCCACGTGCCAGGGTGGAGCCGGCCACCCTGTCAGCCTGCCCCAGCTGGTGCCATGCCTGTGCTGTGCAGAGCCTTGTGTAGATGTTTCTGTTCTTGCAATAAAGGTATTACACGAAGAGGTCTCTGGCCTGTGAATCATGCAGGGTGGGCTGCATCCACAAGTGGGAACGGAGCAGGAAAAAGGCTCTTTGGAAAGGTTGAGTTTTGCACACTGAGACGTTTATTAGATTTCCATACAAAGGGGAAAACTCTTTGGAAGGTCTGGTAGAAATGAGCTGACTGTTGAGCAGGGAGACCTCCATCCCAGCTCCTGAGCACACAGCATGCATTCACTCCAGCTCCCGACAAGGACCCCAAGGCCAGCAGGATTCCTCGGCGACCAGGAGCACAGGCAGAGAACTGCTGAGGCGCTCAGTGCTTCTCGGTTTTGGACCACCACCATCACATGGCCACACACAATATGTGCTGGCAGCGCAGGGCCAGTCCACTTGGCCCTGACTCCTCTGGGTGAGGGCAGCGGGGGCACTGGGCTGTGTGCGTGAGACACCCCTCGCAAAAGGCAGGACGCACACCAGGGCAGGAGAACCTCACCTCGATGTTCAGACCTCTGCTTGCGGGTTGTGAAGGGGCAGGGCTTTCACCCAAGGTTGGGACAGGGCTTCACTGGAAGAACTCCTTTCCCCGTTTCCCGGGCTAGGCCTTTCCCTTTTGGAAGCCCCTCACATCAAGCACCTCCCTAGGAGGCAGATTTCTTTTTGGTGAGCACTGGGCCTTGCACCTTCACCCAGGCAGGAGGGGCCCAGCTACCAACTGCAGGCTGTAGCAGAAGATACCGCAACAAACACAGTGCTCCTCCACCCTCAAGCGGGACAGACTTGCCCGATGCCCACTTGGGCATCACAGATGAATCCAAGGGGACATCGGGATGTGTACCCTGCAGCACGCACCAGTTCCCACCAGTGGCACATGCTTGCAGCACCATCAGTCCCCTGCCAGCTGTCCACCCTTCAGATGGTGATGGAGTTAGTGCTGGAGAACTGAGATACGTAGGAAGCCAGGATGGGGTTGGTGGGAAGGACTTTGATGGGCAAGTCCCAGCTGAAAGTGTCTACTTCCATCTGCTCCACCCCAGTCCAGGTGACGGCCTCTGACTGGCTCCCACGAAGCACACAATTCCCCGCTGACTCCCTGGAGGTCACAAATTCAAAGTGCAGCCTCCACTTCAGGGACACTGTGGGAGAGAGAGGGGGTCAACAGCCAATATCACAAAACATAGGAACAGCAGCTGTCCCAGCGCTGGCTGTCCTGGCAAGGGGACACGCAAATAAACCCCCTCACAAAGGCCAGCTCCCTCCCACAGGACACAGCCCTGCTAAGCCAGGGCAAGGCTGGGGACATTACAGCCCTCCTGTGCAGACAAGCAGGGGTGGGTCCCTTGCCCGGTGGCCACTAACCGATGTTGGTGGTGAGTCCTGGGGTAGAGCTGAGCGGGATGGGCAGGCTGAAGCTGCTCTGGGCCGTGTGCAGGCAGGACTCCTGATGTCGAGCGTGCGTGCTGAAGGAGACGGGTTGCCCTCGCCGGCGCTGGAACTCCTCTTGGATGCTCTCCTCCGTCTGCAGGCTCACTGAGAACTGCAAGGCAATGGGAAGGGTGCTCAGTCTCACAGCCTCACATAGCCCTGGTGAAAACCCCCGGGGTACTCTGTTCCCAAAACGAGCTCAGAACTGGAGCTTTTCCCCACCTCACACCCCAAGGTCCCATTACAAATCCTCAGGAGAATCCCCACAGCACCCAGTGTCCCCTCTCTACCACACCTGAAACCCCTGCCTCTCCCCACAGCAACCCCAAAGCCAGCACTGACCTGCAGACACGGGATGTCTCCTTCGGAGAAGTTAAAGGTTCCAATGACATCCTCTCCGATCTTATACACCGTCTTAAAGATGCAGAATGTTCCCACCTTACCACGAGTGTTGCTGATGTTATACAGGTCTGCGGAGCAAGAAGAGCAGAGGGAAAAGGATTGTGGCAGAATGAGGCTCGGCTCCATGCAGAGCTCTGGATCAATTTGCAGAGCCCAGCAGACATGACCCCATGCTTGCTGCTTGGGTATAAAAGACAGTCCCTTGTGGCAGCATTCCCTTTGGGAAACACCTGCAGCGAGAGCAAGGTTTGCAAGAGCAAACCCCACACCAGCTGCAATATGCTGGGGAGAGGTCACTCTGGCTGATGTAGGAAGAGACTGAGACTGGCCAGAAGGAACCCGTGAGAAACAGACCCAATGGGCCCCAATGGAGCTGCTCCATGGCCACAGCCAGAGCTTCTCTTTGCCAGCGAGTGATTTTTGCAGTGAGGCTGAGCTGTGCTTCATGCCCAGCTTGGGAGAGCAGGTTTGAGCAGGGAGCGTGACCTACGTAGGCTGCGTCGGGAAGTGGCCACCATGAGCAGTTCTGTGGCCAGGTCTGCCAGGCGAGAGTCTTTCTTCAAGCCCTCCTCCTCCTCCAGGAAGGGGTTTGAGGGCGCAACGGCCTCATCCTGTGGGAACTGGTAATCCTTGAGCCCTGGGGAGAAGGCAAGACCGTCAGCGGGCAAGGGTGCACCTAAGCCTGTGCCTGCAGGGAGGGCAGCATGCAGCCTTACCGTGCAGCACGAGGACACGGAAAGGTACACGCAAGAGCTTGATGGGGGAGTTGACACGCTGGCAGCCGATGGTCAGCTTGTACACGTACTTCACTGACTGCCCCCGGAAAGAGGGAGGGCCATCTATGGGCAGCGTCTCACAGTACGAATCTGCAAGGAGAGCAGAAAAGGTTGCTTTCCAAGGCCAAAAGGAAGCTCCCAGAGCTGCTGCCCGCAGGCTCCCTGCACCAAGCGTTAGGACCAGCAGTGGTGCTCAGCTAGGGTCAGTGCCTAGTGCTTTCTGCCATGTCTTCTTTCCCGCAGCAGGCCAAGCATGTCCCCAGCTTCCCTGCACCAGAGCCTTGCTACTCACATCACATGCACCATCATCCAGACATTGGTTCCAGCACACACAACCACACACAAAAAATCTGCCTCAAAAGAATGTGAAAGATGTAAAATCCAGGAATACAAATACATGAGAGCTAAACTTACTCATCACGAGTTCAACCTGAATTTGCCTCTGCACACTCGCGCTGCACACCGCCTTCCTGACGCAGTTGCACTCTGTGGTTTCCCCAGGGCTCAGCCCCACGCGGCAGAGCGGTGCCAATCAGCATCTCACACTTCTTTTGATATTCACTTTACAGAAACCCCAAACTCAGCAACAAAAATTAGCTTCTTCCTGTGTTTTTCTCTGAAGCACCAGATCTAAATGGCCAAGAAACAATTAGACCTTCACAACAACCTGTGGCGTACCCTCCTTGACAAACTGACGACTTAGACCACAAAGCCTCTGACTCCAAGACCTCTGAGATGCTGAGGCCTGGCTCTACACCACATTCAGTCCTCCCAAAGCCCCTTGGCCACCACACAAACCCCAATACTTCTTGACGCAGCATGAACGATACTGCAGCTTTCCCAAACCGCATGCTGTACAATAAGAAAGGCGCAAACAGCGAACTGTGGAAAGTCTCCACCTCTCTGGCTTGCCCACTGTAATGCAGATACACCCTGCCAGAGGAAGGGCAGCATCCTGCTACGAAACCACAGATCCTTCCCCATGTCTGGCACATCCTAACATTCAGGCTTAGATTAAAAGCCAGGGTTACATTTTAAATATAACTCCTAGATTTAAAGGAACAGGACTGGAAGGAGGTAAAAAGGCCATGCTAGTGCATAGTGTCCACAGGCTGTCACACCTTAAAGCATAAGGCTGTCCTGCTGGACCGGGGGGCTGTGAGTTGTGCTGACAGGCAGGAAAATCAGGTATTTCTAAGGAAGGATGCAAAAGTCTGTAGCCCCCTGCACCAGGCTTAACAACAGTGATCACAAAGACCTTCACGTTCAGTAAGGATAACCTGAGCAGAGACCACCACTGCCTGAGGACAACAGGTGATTTGCTACCTGGTACAGGAATGCTGAAACTCGGGAAGTCCCAGCTTCTGTGCATATCCCAGAAGGGAGCACATTCCTGGTGCTACAGATGCCTTCCTTAGCCACCCGCTGGACCCGCTGGCTGGGCTCCTGACCCGTGCCCAGGCTGCTTCCATTTCCTCCCTGCTCTGTGATCTACCAAATATTTGAAGGTATTACACAACAAGAGAGGAGGCTAAAACAGCCACAGAAATTACTTGAGGGCTTGAGAAAATGTTCTGTGGTGACAAATTTAAAGAGCTGAGTCTGGGCAGTGTGTCAAAGGGATGGGAGGTGAGTCAACTTCAACATATAGGCACCGCAACAAGGGGAAGATACTGGGGAATAAGCTGGTCGGCATCTAAACCCAAGGCCTTTTATCAAGAGACAGCCTGACACAACATCAGTCATATGCGTCAGCTCTGGCTACCTAACAGTACTTTGCTGAAGCAGAATTAAGATTTCTTGGGGTTTTTTTTGCCTTTCCAAACTGTGCAGGAAAACTCAAAACTTCTGAAAAACAGGAAATGAAGAATTAAGATACACACCCACACGGCCTTAACTCTGCCTCCACGGAGCTGGCAGGAGCCCCCAGGAATGATCTGCAAGCTTGCCAGCTGCAGTCTCGCGTGAGAGGAGCAGCACGGCAGGCCGACAGGAGCAGTGTGAGTGGCCTGGCAAAGCCAAGGCTGTGATTCAGGGGTTTCAGTGCTAAAATGCCCAGTCCCACACACAGCAGCATCGCAGGCAGCACATTCAGTGGGGTACAACAGATGCATGTAACAGACAGCCAGGGGAAAAGGCTGTAACGTACGGCCAAAGAACCTTCCTACGGAAGCCCAACGCAGATGCAGGTTGCCTGTGCCAGCGTCACCCAGCAGCAGAGTGGACACACACACGCACACACAAAATACACCATCACTGGTGAGGACAGACTACATCAGCTTAGTTGGGAGCTGAACCCTCTTAACTCACTCTCACTACTTGGTTGGGCTGTCATTGATCTGCTTTCCCAGAGACTGTTAAACTTGCCTGAGATGTGCCAGAAAAAGGGGCATCCCCCAGCTCCCCAGGAATGGATGCCCCAGCCTCACAACAGCCAGCAGCGAGGAGCACAGGAGAACTCAGGTGAGCCTAAGGCCAGGTGAGATTTCTGCTTCTTTCTCCTCCTCCCTGGCATGACCACTGTCAGAAAGCTCAGGGGACCTTGCCTCCAGTGCGGCAGTGCCAGGCCCTTTCCCCTACATGCTGCTGGAGAACAGTAAGCCTGAGCGGTAAGTCTGTAGAACAGTAAGTCGATAATTAAAGGTGCTCAGGCAATAGCCTTTGTAGTTTAGCAGACAGAGCTCCAGACAGCGCTGCCCCACCCGCTAACCACCTAGCCAAGTCAAGTCAGTTTTGAACTCTCTGCCTTTCGCTCCAGTCAGGTCTCTCCAAGCCTAGAAAGACAGGAGACACCAAACAGCCTCAAAACCAGCACATCTCAGCCCTCTGCTCCGTGGTCTCACTTGCAGCTCTGTCCTCACCTCCCCAGAGCTCAAGGCTCCAGCAGAGCCCACCACAGGCACTGCCTCTCTCCTCCCTTTGCTCTGTGGCTAGAGAAGTGTCTGCCAACCATTTCCAGAAGATTCCCAGGACAATCCGAGTGAGTGCAGCCTGCAATGCCTGACCTTATGCTGCTGCTGGACCATGGGCGGCTGGAACACAAAGGAGATCCAACATGAACTGACCAGCTAGGTCACGCAGCCACAGACCAAAAGACAACAGCACATGTCATGTATTTTAGCAGCTGTCTACTCAGGTAGAAGAAGCTGCCTCGAACAACAAAAATGAGCTGCTGCAAATTCCTTGTGAAAAGGATGGAAATTTCTCTAAACAATAAAAGGGAAAGTAGTGATGAAGGAGAGCTTAAAGGGGAACCAGTGGAAGGATGCTGTCTGAGGGCTTTGGAGAAACGGTGCGCCCTGAGCAGAGACGAGAAGTGCTCACTTTTACAGCAGGAAAACCAGAACAGGCAGAAGACTCCAGGACAGCCACCACCTGAAGGGTAAGCTCAGACCTTTGGAGGATGCTAGCCTAAATCCTGAGAATACTTCAGTGTGGATGAAGAAATAAAGGCAGGGAAATGCAGTTGTCTGAACTGCTCCTTAAGCTGCAGCCAAGTATTTCAAAACACTTTATGCCTTGCAGCTACACAACAGACCTGCAACAAAGGATGCCGGCCAGGGGCAGGACTGAGGGATACATTGCAGTACGCAGCCCTCACACAGCAGAGAACAGAAGCTGGGTGATGCTCCCACCAAAGCACCTCGCCTTCCACAAGCACCAGGGTCTCCCACTTGCAGCACCCAGGTCTGCAAAGTCAGCTTTGGGAGTGGAGCTCCTCATAGGCAAGCCCTCTGAGGGGGGAAGACAAGACAGGACTCACAGGACTTTGACTCCCCGGGATCCAGTCGCAAGTCACAGAAGAGAATCTTTGGTGGGGTGGACAGGATACACTGACCACGCTCTCCTGGAAGAGAAGAAGAATCACATGAAGAAGAACCTTGGGCTATGCCCAGGCCAGCTGGCCTTAGTGTCATGGGGAGGAACGGGCACGATAGGGGGCCGAGGAGGAAACATCTCAGATCATGAGACATTCCCAAAACAGCTGGACAGACAATCCTCTTGTTTCACTCCAAGTTTGTGCTGCTCTGCTCTCAGTATTAGCAAGGTCTGGCAGCAGTCATCCCCTCTGCTCTCAGTATTAGCAAGGTCTGGCAGCAGTCATCCCCAGGGAATCACACAAGGAAAACAACAAGGACTTCCCACTTGCTGCCCTCAACACACAATTCCCGCTCGCCATGTTCTCACCGTCCCTTGCCCGGGTTACAAGAGTGGCACTCACCTCTGTTGGGGACAAAGACTGTCTCGTTCTCTGCCTGCACATCGTGCTTGCTGCCATCCGAGGGAGGAAGCGCTACCCGGTTCTCGCTGGCATGAAACTGGCAGTGGATCTGGGCACTGGCCCACGCTAGCATCTCACTGCGAGAAAAGAAGAGCAACACTGTTGTCTACACTTTAAACCTGAATCACAGCACACATGAATTGGGAGAAGAGCAGCTCTTGCTGCCCAGCATCGTGCAGGACTGCTTTTCCAGAAGAAAGACAGCCTTGCTTCAATGTCACTGAAGCCACTCTCACAGCTCCCACTCCAAACAAGCCTTCAGAGCAACCCTGAGCTGGCGTGCTGACCCAAAGCCGCTTCCACCCCAGGTGCTGCCAGCAGTTTCACCCAAGGGCCAGCTCTGTGGCCCGAGGGCTCCTGTTTAGAGGAAACATTTGCAGTCTGAGACACAGCAGCTTGGGTACAGCACAGACACGGAGCAAGACCCCTCTCCAAGAAGCCTGCTGTATACACGTGGCAGAAGACAGAAGAGCAGTGTAGGTTGACAGACACCATTTCCATGGAGACAGAGACAAGGTGGCCCATGCAGAACCTCACAGTAGTCTTCCAACACACTGAGGTCAACTGTCCTGAGATCCAGTCCAAAGTCTTATTCACTCAGTCTCCTTCCTCATCACCCTTAGCTTGGAACTGGCCACAGGCCATACTCCTGAGAGGACACCTCTAAGCTGTCATGCATGGGCAGGCCTGGCAGAGGGCTTTTAGCCATGAAGAGCTAAATCCAAAGCTAGATGTGATATGCAGAGCAGCCCTGGGAAGCACCTCCGGCAATAATGCAACCTGGCAAATTCAAAAGCAAAAAATATCTGCAATCTGGGTTCAGTGGCCCCTGCCCACAGCACTCAGCTGCCATGAGCTCGAAACTCCTCAGGACAGGTAGGACAGACACATTCCCTCCCCACAGCACCGTCCCCCTCAAGAACATCAAACCCTCGTTGCATCAGACCAGAGAAGGAACTAGCTTCTCCTCTTGATGCTAGGGATTCACTGACAGCTAAAGGGGGGCAAGGCTGTCATTCCACCCTCTCTCTGTACAGCCGCAAGAATTAAGTTGCATCCAGCGTGGAAAACAGCCTCATGTTTTGGACTCTGGTACAACCTCAGCCATTCCACAGCACATTTACCATGGCATTACTGACACCTTTCAGTTTCCAAAACACTCATCTATTTTTATTTCAACAGCAGTCTCATCAGTTTAGCCAGTGCATCCTTCCTCTGGTGTTTTCTAACATCATGATCTGATTAGTAAGCACTGACACCAGAGTTTTAGGCGGCACAGGGATTTTCTGCAGCACATGGATATCTCTTGAAGTGACACATCAGAGCAGCTAAACATCTCGACAAACCAGAGAAAAAGGTGTGATGCATTCGTTCGAGCTGACTAACAATTTGCTATTTGATCTTTTGTATGTGCTGGCTGCCTTTACCCAAACACGCGTTGGTGACTCTACTCAGTTACCTCTAACCCCACAATTGTAATTTCGTACCTTCAAAAGTATCAGCATGGCTTTTCCATGAGGGCTGCTTTAAAGTTTTGTATCTTAACATATCTGCTATACGGAAATAGACAGAAATGCTCTTGCTTAAGAAACAGTGTTAACCAATTTTATTTAAGCTTAACATAATTACAGTACCTTCACACAGTGTATTTTGAATCTCTCTAAATTTTTATTTTCTTTTATTTTTCCCAGTATTGCCCAATAATATGCCACTGGAACATTCACATTGTTTTAAACAGACGCCCAAACAAAATTTGCATGTGCATTCCTATCAGCAGACCTGGCTTGTCCAGCCAGCAGGATGCAGAAGGATCCTGCGTTGGTGCTGAGGTCATTTCCCGCCTCTCTTACCTGCCTCTACAACTCCTGTAGCCCACAGAGGCTGTGCTCCACGCAGCCTTTGGGCAGGAGACCTTTGCTTCCTGTAGGCCTCGTACACCACAATCAAATTAACTTTCTACCAGTTACTTACTGCCCTTTGGTTCTGTCCCGACATTTGAAATGTATGCCTTTCAGTCCCTCTACCTGTGCTGCAGCTTTTGCCAGTCCTGAAAGACTCTCGTTCCCAACGTGTCTATTTGCCTGTTGCAGTGACTCTGCTTTGATCTGGCTCCTACCTTTACACAACCCAGGGCCTCCATTTCCAAACCACCAATCTATTTGGTGTTGCCACTTGTATGACTTAGCCAGGTCTCATCAGTTTGATCACCTGCTTTATTAAAAGCTGCCTTTTTTTACCATGAGGAGGTTTTCTACAGACCAGAGCACACCTGAAGCTCCCATAACTGAACTGCAAACCTCCAACACTGCTCCACCTCATATCCTTGCAGTCCCATATGCTTCGGAACCGGGAAAAACAGCACCATCACCACACAAGACAAAACTCTGGAAGGCTAGATGCTTATGCCCAGCTGAATTTGAAAGCTGAACTCAGCAGGCAAGAGGAACCAGGCAGAAACGATGAAAAGTTAAGGAAGGCAATAAACAAAGACGACCAGCAGCAGTAATAAAAGAGACTGCTCTGCTGTTGCTGAGACTGCAAGTAGTGAAAACGAGTACACCAAAACTATCAGGTGTGAAATGCGTACTGGTGTTGAGAAGGTGCTGAACCTGACAGGGTTGGAAACTTCCCAGGAAGGCCTCAAGATGACAAAGCACTCTCCAGCTCGTGGAGAAGCAGACAAGGCCACACACTCAGCAGACACGGAGGCTTGGGGTGACTACTTAGGATGTGGAGTCACTCCCTGTGAGCCAATATAGGAAGCTCCCATCTTCTCATGTTACCTCAACACCTATTTTGGGCATGGTTAATCACAAGGAGATATGCAGTGCTCAGAGGTTGGGCCACAGAAAATGCTGCTACAGAAGGCTGCCTCCTTCTGATGTCAGGCAGTGCTCACCCCTTGCCTGTCAGCTCTGGATCCAGGGATCACACTGATATGTCAGGGCTCTGCTGGACAGAGAGAGCTCCTTCCCTACATGTAGGAAAAAATGACGTTATCTGGATGTTGCCCTGTAAGACTGTCACAGAATCATGGAATGGTTTGGATTGGAAGGCACCTTAAAGATCATCTAGTTCCAACCCCAGTGCCACGGGCAGGGACACCTTCCAGATGGCCCAGCTGCTCAAAGCCCAACCTGGCCTTGAACACTGTCAGCCTGGTGTAACTAGATACGCCACCCTGACAGCCAGTTTGGCTTCAATTTCTGCTAGCAGCCCTGTACCGAGAGCTCACCTGAGGGGCAGCTAAGAGCATCTCTAACCGCATGCTTTTTTCCTCGCCTCCTTCTTGGGGGCAGAAAACCTGAACAAGCCCCTTGGTTTAGTGATGGCACAAAGCACCTCGGGCAGGGAAGTCACCACTGGCGGAGCTGGCAGCATTGCCCCACAACCCAGCCAGGACTATATCTGGCTGCTCGGGCAGGAAAGGGAGGCCGTTGCCTCGGGAGGGACCAGGTCAGCTCCGCCACTTGGAGGCTTCAGGCACCGAACGGCTCCACTGGCACAAGGCTGCTGCCGCGTTACCTGCTGGCGGAGGTCGACGAGGCCGATAAGGGGTTGGTGAAGGTGATCACACACTCCAGCACCT